AAGGTCAACAAAATGCATTTTTCCCGAGAACACAGTCAGGTTTGCCTATGCCACTGGGTAATTTGTCCCTGAAAAATGCAAACATTTTCCTATTTTTTCCACAAAGTTTAAAATTGGCGTGCATCATAATCAACATTTTTGATCAGTACTACATAGAAATTTCAATGATATATCTCTTTAAATAGCATTTTCCTTAGTTAAATCGATCGAATCTCAATAATACAAATTAGCTAAGGGTACAACGTCGACGACACTGAATAATGATTCGTAGGATTTGTATAGTTCTGTTCCAGAATGGTGTAGAACTTAAAAGTTTTTATTGAAGCCAGGTTTTTTTTTGACACTAAATTACCCATCTTGCACATACTGTACGCATCATAAGATTGCAACCTCCCAATCCTGGTAAACCCACTAGAGAGTTAAATGGTAATCTCTACCTAAAATGGCAAGCCCCCAACTTTTCAGTTTGTCATTTTTTAGGTAAATTAGGCACCTCTACCATCAGAAGTTTATTCAAGCCATCCTTGAATCTCTTTTGTCATGTATAAACCAGTGTCAAAGACACCTGTTCATGCCATCTATTCTTTCCATCTCTTTTCCTGTGTGAAAAGGAGTATCCAACTCAACAGTAAAATCATTTGGTGCACTGGACTTAGTATGTCACAGTTTTTGAAATATTTAATGGAAAATGTCTTACATATTATGCCATATAATAGCCATTCATTATTATATTATTATATTCATGAATTTCTACACTACTGCTTCTGATTGTAGAATTTCCATCTATGTAAACTTAGTCATATTATTATACTCCAGCTTGAAAAGTGGGAAGGTATATAGTGATCGGATTGTCTGTCCGTATGTCTGTACATCTGTCCGTTACACTTTTGGGTACCCATCTCTTATATATGCAACTCCTCTTATACCAATGAATGAAATTTAGACTTTCACATAATCTTTGTTTCATAGTGCCTTTAAATTAATTAGCACCTCCTATTTTACTTTTTGCAAAATATGGACACTGCCACTCTTTCTATAATACTGAAAGGTAGTCATCTCTTATACGCAACTTCTCCTATGCCACTGAATGAAATTTAATGATACTTTCACATATTCTTTAATATATAATGCCATTGTGCACCTCCTATTTTTTCTTTTTGATCTCACACTTATTTCAGGTCTTTCGGTTTCCTAGAGCAGAACATAAACTTTGCCTTTATATAGTCATAATTGGGAGGAGGAAAGAATCATTTAGTGAGCTCAATGCTTACACTAATGCTTCTAGTTTTTTCCTACATTATGGTTTTACACAAATTATTGATGGCAATGCCATTACTAAACATGAAAAATATTTCCTTAAGGTAACCACCAATATCTAACAGATTTTTGATGCATTTTCTTTATGCATATGATATTACAACATCATAATATCATGTCAAAATTAAGAAATCTCTTCCCAACAATTTTCAAAAATAAAAGTTGTTGGCAGGTAGTTAATGAGGTAGTTATGTTTTGTTTTTTTCTGCGACAGCCTTCGTACAAATTAAGCCACTTCAAGATATTGAGGATCAATATTCTTTAAAAATTTGTATTCATATATTTTGGTTTCCAGAGGAAAAAGATTTTGAGAGATTTCTTGAGAAATCAAGAATTTTGCTTAATTACATACAGAACTCTGTTATAGCGAAGTCTTGGGCCTGTGAATTTAATTTGCTATATCTGTAATTCGTTATATATCCATATAACCAATTCATATACTGTATTCATCAACTGTACATACCGTGAATTTGTAAACTTTTTCCTTCAAGTTTTACAACTGAATATGTTAGGGAATCATTTATTGCAAAACATATCTTAGATAACTAAGGGTTTTTTATTAATTGAATTTTATATACAAATACTTATTGGAAATAAATAACTAAGTCAGTTCAATAAATCAAATTTTAGTTCTTTGAAAATTCGTTATGAAAGATGTAAATTTCATTATTTTTAACCTGTATCATGGGTCTCAAAAGCAGTTTGATATATCCTTAAATTCGTTATATCAGAGTTGGTTATAACTGTAAAATTTTACCCCAAATTTTTACAAATTCGGCCATGGACACCAAATATCTTTGCTTTATCCGTGAATTTGCTATATCCATGTTCATACTCAACGAGTTTAACTCACAGTACATGTAAGAGAAAAAGGGACAGGTATCTTACGAGATCAAGATTGAACTCCAAGATCTAATGATCTAGAATCACCTGTACTTTTATCTACTCTATTAAAATTTATTTAGAAAAAAGTATTTGTTTTTCTTTTTTTCAGAATACAATATTCCTCTAAAAAAAAATTAATCTGCTTAGTCATGTTGGTTGTGCGATCTTGTGGCCTGTGTAATCGAGTGTTTGGACACTGATTCACCATTAAATCTACTGCCGGCTAACTGAGCACACAGATGACATGAGGAATTACAGAAATGAATGAAGAAATCTGATTTGTGTGTTTGCTGTGGAGAGACCTATAAATAATATTGGTGATGTGCACAGGCAGCTTTTCATGATTGACAATAGATATCACACTGTTGAAGGTACTGCCGCAATGCTGGAATTATAAGAGAATGCCTCAGCAACCATTTCATATTAATTACCGGTATATATCCACGGTGATAAGCCCATTTCATCTCACTTTCCATTCACCACTGATTTAATTATAGGGCTACATCATCATGTTTGATTACTTTTTTTGAAGGTAAGGAAATATTTTACATTTTTTCTGCATTCATAATATTTACATTAAACTCACATTTCAATGAAAAACATTGTCATTTTATCTAGGGTTAACTTTTATACATCTTTTTTATTGAAAAATCTCACCTTGTTAAAAAATAATCACAAAAAGAAACTTCATATGAAATATTATAAATTACAGTAGCTAAAAGACATCTCTAAACTGATCATAGTTAAGTCACTGGAAATTTTTAAAAACTATTTTGTTTTTATAAAAAAGTTTGTTTCCCCCAAAAAGCTTTTAAAATTATCCTTTTAAGCTAATTTTTTAATATAATATTTTAAAAAAATCTTTTAATTTTAGTTTATTTAATTATATTTAAAACTATGCATTTTAATTTGGTAAAATCATTCAAAAACTATTTTGATCCTAAAACTTTATATAATAATGTAATGTTTGGTAATTTGAATATTAAGGTGATGGTTATAATTTTAATGATCTAGCTTCAATTTTGGACTATGACTGCTGCGACTTAATGGAGTAAAGATACAACCTACAATTTTAATAAACATAAAAAAAATCAATTCCAGAATTCATTAATATGACAGAATATTGATGGCGACTTTTCCTTACTCGGACTTTGGTAAGAGTCGTGCTTCGTAATGGAACTCTTTAATAAAGTTTACGACCTTCATTTTACTTTATCAGTTACTAAACAACTGCCAATCTGGGGGTAATGTCTCCTCACCTAGATCTCGGCTCTCAGCCTCACTTAATCAAGTTTACATATTTTCTCAGATGTTTTCCTGATTTGAGTTAATCCTATCTGATCTTCCTGCTGGTCAATATTACCAAGCTAGGTAAGAACAAAAAGGACCCTGGCTCCCAGCTATTTCACCGTTCTGTCGTTAATCCTATAATAGATTCTCTGCTTACTACGGCCCTGGTTATATGCATATTGTGTCGTAGGATCGTAATGTATCTAAATACTGCTTTATTAATCACAGAGTCATTGGCAGGAGATGATTTAATGGACTCAGACTGAAAAAATAAAAGTTCCTGTACTCTCTCCTCTATAAAGGAAAAGAAAAAATCCTTGTCATTTTGATAAAACCATAAAATTAGACTGTTTTATGTATATTCTATAACAGACAAATACTGCATGAAAACAGTATTTATCAAATGAACACACCTATTCTTGAAAGCACTCTGTCATTTTCAATCTCTCACATAAACCCCTATGTCTAAAATCATCATCTAGATCTAATAGTTACTAAAGAGAATCATAAAAACTAGTGAATACAGGGCAATTTTTTGTAACATGAATTAATGGACAGTTACTTTTTTCCTGCACTGATCTGCAGTTTCTAAATGACTTTTAGGGAGAGGCTAAATTTCAGGCTGATAAAAAAGCATATGTACCTGTATCAAGACAGGAATAAGTTGATATTAAGGTAATAAATCATATTTCATATCACTCCTGAGAATCTGAAACAACCCAGGAATTACACCTTGCAGACTCCTAAATCTCCCCCAAAATTAACTACTACAACTATCTGGAATGATAAATCTCATTTCTTGAAATCATTTACAATTTCAATACATGAAAACAATGGTTTGGGAATTCTTTCATGTTATGAAGTGTTACAAAGACTGATGGAAAAATAAAACAGTTAGTCATTCCTTTACTCCCAAATGAAATTGAGAAAATGAAAACCTTATTTTAAGTTGGGCTTCAACAATTGACAACATTACTGTCATAATATTTTGAATAAACAAACCAAATAGAACTGGATGGAATGATTAAGTTTTATCTGTTTGATACTACATGGCCTTCCGTTATTAAGTCACCCCTATAGGTTTTAGAGCTCATCAGCTCTTGTAGCATCATTTCTTACAACAGTAAAATCAAGATTCCAAGACACATGTATACTTTTGACAAAAACCTCCCTGTCAATTCTCTGTTGTTTTGTTTGTTTTTTTTCATTCAAGACAAAGGATACAAGATTGTCTTTTTAAATCAATAAATCTACAACTTCACTTCTCTACAACACAGATATTATTATCCGAACTCTCCATTCCAAAACTGCCGAGGGTGAGCAAAAATTTCTAATGGGTCTGATTTTTAACAACTCTTTAAAGCCACTTAGTCTCTAAAACATAGTTAATTTGTCTAAAATAACCAAGAAAATATTCTCTTTAAAACCTCAAAAACACATGAGAATATGTCCTCAGCTTTTAATTATGTATTCAGAACATACCAATAACATTTTAAGCAGTACATACTAAATAGAAATATTTTCTTTTCCTTTTTATTTCTTTTTTTCAAAGTACATGCAGTCAAAATGAAAAAGGTGAAAACAACAAACAGTGGCCAACCTCAAAAACAGGACGTGATCTGACCTCAGAGCACAATTTAAACGTGAAGCAAATTGCCCTTATATCAAGTAAATGAACCTAAGACTAATATTAGAATGCTGTTAAATTTACCACGTCGCAAGAAAAAAATTCAGGCCTATAAAAAAAATCTTGGGACATTCCTTGACTGATCTCAGATGTAAACAATCTGGAACTGCTCTTCTAAGGACATGCACAGTAAACCAACAAACTGTAACCTTCTTCTTATGCATGAGAAATTCCTTTGTTAAACTTGGATATTTACCTGGTTTTTGAAGTCAAACACTGCCCTTTGGGAGATATATGTTTTCAACAAACTTAAAACTAAACAACATATTAAAAGTTTGCATTAATAAATTCAGTCTTATTCTTTGAACCCAAAAGTTTTCTTTATATTCCTCTGTATGCTAAACCTTTCAAATTCTACAGAAGCTCTAAAATAGCTAAAACAAACAATTTAACTAAGAAAACAAAGTGTGTTTTTGAAACACTGATGCCTCCATATGACAGCTTTTTGCTGCCGGGATCAAGTTTCTCATTTTAATGCCAATTAAGTTTCAAGGTTAAACGTTGTTTTTACAGAAAAAAGGACTTGTGTCAGTGAATTCGCTTGTGAAATATGAAAGCCCAAACATCAACCATTCAAAAATCATGGCAAGGTTAATTTTTTTTTGAGTGGGTCAAACTGGTAAGTCAATGTCAAAGGGTAAAAATTAATGGTACCCATAGAAGGGCCTTTTCATAAGAAATACATATATGAAATACTAAAGACTTTGCTCCAACTGTTCTATTATGGATGGTAAAATTTTTTCAAAAGTAGACCAATCTCCAAGGTCAAGAGGTCAAATAAGTTTATACCCAAGAGGTCTTGTCTCAAGGAATTCATATGTGAAATATGAAAGCCCAGGTGGTCAAAAGTTAAGGCCAAGGTTAAATTTTTCGAACAGTGATACAAATTCTAAGGTCTGCAAGGTCAAAACAATTTAAACAAATGGAAAGTAATTGTCACAATCAATACATATTTAAAGTATGGAAGTCCTAGAATTAATTGTTCAAAAGTTTAGGCTATATAGGTCTAAAGTTAAGAAAAAGAGTCAAAATCAAAGGTCAAATATGTTGGTATCCAAAGGAAGGACGTGTCACAAGGAATATGCTTGTGAAGTTTGAAAGCAATAGCTCCAATCGCTCAAACACTGTGGGCAAGGTTAATTAAAGTTAAAAATGCAGACAAACAGATGAACTGACAGACAGAGGGATGAACAGAGCAAGTCTTGGTTATTCTAAGGAAGTTTTATTTTTTAAGAAAAAAAGCTCTCTTAGCCCATTTCCATACATGTATTATTATTGAAACTGTAATCAATATCAACACCTCATACAATTTGTGTTAAGTGGAGACCTATGGGCGACAATGCTCGCCTGAGTCAATAAACAAACACTGACAAAGTTATACAAAGCCCCATGCTTTTATCAGTCACCTAGACTTGCTGAAGATGAATGTTTTGCTACCAATGTAGTCTGAAGCAACCCTGTAAACAACCGGCCTACTTTAACACAGCTCTACCGCAGCCTCTTTCTGATATCAGTTTCTGATAACACTTCCTGTTCCTTGAAATCTACGATTCTTATATATCCAATCACCAGACAAATAAAATCTCAAACAGACCCATTGTGCAATCTTTATTCCTTTTTACCACACTGTTATCACAAAGTAACAGTCCTGTAGCCTTCAGAAGGAAAGAAATTAGGTCATCCACAAGGCTTTATTAAATGCTGGTGCTTCTTATTGTCTATAAGTAGACACTCCTTTTCTTTTTATATTGTGCTCAATAAGTAGAAAATGCTCCGGAATCAAGCCTGTTATTGGATTTGTGTCTTATTCAATCTTATACACTTGAATTCTTGCAGATATTCTAGGTTTCTTCATATATATGTATGAGAAATTTTTATCAATAAAATTCAATTAATTCCTCGTATAATTCTGTCAAATAATTATGTAACTAATTTTTTTTTAAGAGAGTTTTTCTCTTGGTTGATTTTTTTCAATAAATAGTTCAATATCAGAAGACATTTATAAACTGTAATATTAGAAATGTTTTGAATCAGTATCATTCTCTCTAATTGAGAGAAAACACATCTTTTACAAACTGGACTAAAATAACTCTTTTATTAAAAAAAAAAGTCAATAAATCGTCAAAGTCTGGGAGTAATTAAGTACACAGAACTCTAAGTTTTCAACTTCACTTATCCTGTGACAAACATCCAATTTTCTTGCAGGGAACCTGCTTGGTTTTCTATATTAATTATAAATAAAAAAGTTCATTGAATCTCAATCTAAACAGGCTAAGAGGAATTAAAGAAAATAATTATAGTTATTCTCAGTGGGGTGACAGATTCATTTAAAACAGCTTAGAGGCTGTATCTATAAACACTACGTGGGCAAACATTGGGAGAACACTGATGGCAGGCAAAGGAATGTCAAGTTACAATTGGTTTCCTGACCAATTATAGGCTCAGGGTTACACACAGTGAAAGCTTCTGGGGAGAATTCTTCTTAAATTTCATTCTTAATTATTTCAGTGTAATATGCCTGTGTCATGCATTACCAATATTTTAAAATTTGAATT